CATGAAAAGTTCCTTAGGCAGAATCATCAATAGAGTCACTAAAGTAAAAGAATAAAGAAGAAGAGGTAGAGGCGAAGACAAGTCAATAAAAAAATATTCAAACTGAAACACAAAGAGGGAAAAAAAAGACTGACAAAAACAATAGAGAAACAGAACACCAAAAGCTACGGGACAATACCAAATGCTAGCAAAATTTAGATGGTCTAGCATATGTATAACTGGATTGCCAGATTCTAGGACAATAGAAAAGGACTGGTCCACAGAATACTTGAATATATAACGGCCAGGAATTTTCATAAACTAATGTAAGGAATCAAAACAGAGACCCAAGAATCTCATGAGCCCCTAAGCAGAATTAAACATGTGCACACGCACACAGTTTTTCCTATTGCTGAACATCAAAGATAAAATCTTGAAAAAAACTGAAAAAATACAAGGCAGCCAAAAAAAAGGCCACATTAACTATAGCACACATCTCATCAGAAACTATACAAGTCAGAATTTACTGGAATGAAATCTTTGAAGTATTAAAAGAAAAAACTTGCTAACTCAGAGTTCCATTCAGGGAAAATATGTTATAACAATAATAGCAAAATGAAGATTTCTCAGATAACCAATCCTAGCAGACCTGCAACACAAAAAAAAGTTAAAAAAAATGTATTCAGAGAGAAAGAATGCAATATTAGAAAGAAATCCGGTCTATTCAAAGAAATGAAAAAAATAAATATAAAAGGTATTTTTCTTTATTTTTAATCACTCTAACATGCAATTGCTTTTTTTAAAAAAAAAATAGCAATAATATATTCTGGGGTCTAAAATATGAAAGGGTAAAATAAAATGTCTCAATGCAGAAAGAATGGGAGGAACTGGAAGTCTACGGTAAAGATTCATTCACTATACCAACAATGCTATACTATTAATATTATTTGAAAGTAGACTATGATAATTAAGACATATATTGTAATCCTAAGAGGAACCACTAAAGGTTTCCAGAAAGGATGCATAACTAATAAGCCAACCATGGAGATTAAACAGAACCATAAAAAATATTGATCCAAAAACAGGCAGAAAAAGAAATAATAAAAACAAACAAGAAAAGGATAAAGAGAATTAAAAAAATGCAAGATGGTATATTTACATCTAATTACATCAACAGATACATTAAGTATAAATGGTCAAAACACTCCCAATTAAAAGATAAAAAGCCAGACCCAAGAATATGGTGTCTCTAAGAAATTCACTTCAAAATAAAGATATAATTACCTTAAAAGTAAAAGAAAGAACTTTTAGTTTTCAGTCTGACAATAAAGAGTTGGGAAAGTGTCGCTCTCATCTTCACAACAAATGCTGAACAAACTGAAAATCAACAATTCATCTAAGGTCCAACGGAGAATTGAGGGCAAAGGGCAAACTACCACCCAGAAACTGGAAAGACAGGCAAACAGAGAGAATTACATGGATATCTTGAGAGAAAACAGAAGAATAAAAGTTTCTGAGAGAAAGTAAATACTAAACCAATAACATTATAATTAAAGTTCCTCAAGCTAAAGAAATTTCTCTGAGCTTTAGTCTACGAACAGAAAATGCCTATTAAATCATGGATTAGATGGATGAGAAAAAGATATAAACACATCCTGGCATAAGTCATGAACTCAAGAATAAAGAGAAAACTCTTATTCCAGAAAGAATAAGTTGCTTAGAAAAATAGAGAGGCAGGCATAGGCATTCTTACCTATAACATGGCGAAAGAAGATAGTGAAATAGCATTCACAAATTTTTGAGAGAAAAAGACCACCCAAGAATTCTATCCCAATCAAAAGTAAAAAATAAAAATTATTTGGGGACATATAATAACTAAAAAAATGTTAATCACCCACTTATCCTATCTAGAGAAATTGTCAAAAAAAAAAAAATACTAACTAAATCACAGCAGAGGTAAGGAATGAAAAAGAGACCTTCTGACATATGTAGTCAATTCTAATTAGATATTAGTAAAATAAGTGAATAGAGATATACCATAAATGAAAATCCAGTTCATTAGAACTAAAATAAATCATCTAAACAAAAAGAATATTAAAATCAGTCTGATGTACAATGGCCCCTCCTTATCCATAGTTTCTTTCTGTGGTTTTGCTTTCTTCTGTTTCAGTTAACCTCAGTCAACTTCAATCCAAAAATATTAAAGGGAAAATTCCAGAAACAAATAATTTGTAAGTTTTAAATTGCATCCTTTTCCAAGTAGTGTGACGAAATTTCTTGTTATCCCACTCTGTCCCACCCAGGACATGAAACATCTTTGTCCAGCATATCCATACTAGACATCTACTATCTGTAGATTAGTCATTAACATCATTTGCTCCTGACATCTAACAATTGACACTGTCATGGCCCAGTAATCCAGTATCACCTTATAAGCAGATGCTCCTCCTCCTTCTGAACTATTATTGTCAGAAGGTCAATAGCAGCCTAAAACTATGTCACAATGCCTACATCATCCACCTCACTTCACCGCACTAGGTATCTCACATCATAAAAAGGAGGATAAGTATAGTACAATAAGATATTTGAGAGTGAGAGAGACCATGTTTATATAACTATTATTATAATATATTGTTATAATTGCTCATTTTATGATTAGTTATTGTTGTAAATCTTTTAGCATGCTTATAAAATGTGTACAGAGAAAAACAGTATTTATAGGGTTCAGTACTATCCTTGCTTTCAAGCATCCATTGGAGGTCTTGGAACTGGCCAGGATAAGGGGGAATTGCTATACAAGAAAACTGTAAGTACCTATTATTGACAGCTTTTTCATTTTGTTTTACCTGGCTTGCAAGATGAGAGTGACCAAACAGCTTGTGACCCAATTTCCCGTACTGTTCCAGTCCTTTCCAACTGCTTTGGGTCCGCACCAGGAGGTGTTTTGTTTGGTGTGGTCATTTTTTAAATATTCTATGCAGAAAAAAAGAAAATGCACATTATATCAGGAGCTGCACATCTTTCTACAGAAGGTAAAAGTAAAAATTTAATAGCAAAATGGATCATTCGTATATCCCAATATTAATCATTTATTTCTCAAATGTAGTTAACATAACTCTATTACTATAATTAAAAAATCTTGCAAATTCAGTTTTTGTTTCTGAAATATACTATGACTAGATGTGAAAAACAGGTGGGTATATTACTCAAAAGAGCATAAGAGCAAAGTTGTTTTGTTTTGAGACAGAGTTTCACTTTGTTACCCTCGGTAGAGTGCAGTGGTGTCATAGCTCACAGTAACCTCAAACACTTGGGCTCAAGCAAGAATCACTTTTATCTTCAACATTTCCTTTAACTATCTTAGGCTTTGAACATACTATGCAGTACTATACTTCTGTGAGTGAAAATTCAAATGACTTTTAGCCCTAGAATAGTCAGATTGAAATTCTCTTATTCCAGAAATATGTAAATATTAGTCCTTATTATTTATTTATTTAGAGACAAGGTCTCACTTTGTCACCCAGGCTAAAGGGCAGTGGTATAATCGAAACTCACTGCAGCCTCCAAATCCTAAGTATAAGCAATCTTCCTACTTCAACCTCCCTAGTATCTGGTGCTACAGTTACATGCCACAACACAGGGCTAATTAAAAAAAAAAAAAAATTCTTTTGTTGTTAAGAAAAGGTGTCACTACGTTGCTGTGGCTAATCTTGAAATCCTTGCCTCAAATGATCCCTCTGCCCCAGCTTCCCAAAGTACTGGCATTTAGGTGTGAGCCACAACTTCAGCCCTGATCCTCATTTTAAGTATGTATTAAATGATGCAGAATTCTACCTCCCCACTAGCTGTCAACAGCGCCATTTGCATGTGCTCTTACCATACCAGATAAAGTCAGAAAAATGGCTTTAAGGTTTAGAAGTGAATAAATGGCATTTTCTAAAAAGGTTGCCCTCATCTTCCACATCTTTTCTTAAGTCTATCAAAACATGAAAAAAAATACTTCTTGGATAGCGAACAATATGCAAATGGCCTTGGGAGCACACTTACTGTACTATTATTACACATACTTTTGGAAAACAGGTCCAATTGTTCTGTATGACATCTCTTGACATTTCCCATTAGGTCTCAAATTGTTCCCTAATAAGCACTTGATACTCTTAAATAATGACAGACAGTGGACTGTAAACTTCGGAAAGGCCTGAGATTTAAATGCTCAATAAGTAACTTAATGAATAAATTAATAGGTTTAGTCATAAACTATTTGCCACTTGTCTGCAAGTTAACTGAGGTCTAAAATAAGATTATTAAACCTGTAGCCATCATTGCAAACTAAATGCCAAGGAAAAAGGGATGGGAGGGAGGCGAAGGAGGGGAGGGGAAGGGAGGGAGGCGAAGGAGCGGAGGGAAGGGAGGAAGAGAGGGAGGGAGGGAGGAAGGAATGAATGAATGAATCAATCAATCAATCAAAGAAAGAAGGGAGGGCCTATCTCCACGTTGGGGAATTACTCAACAGCCCGACTTGGGACTGGACGCCACCAAGAGGATAAAAACATGGAGCTCGGAGAAGACCGGGTTCCTGCGATTGAGGAACTGACCACACAGATGAGAGGGAGCTAAGGTCAAAGACAGCGCGCCTCTGCCAGCAGTATCAGGGCCAGACTCAGCAGGTCCTTGCTACATCTGGCGTGACAGAGAGACTAAGGCTCTACGTCTCACCCGCAGGCCTTGAGTAGACCGTGAGCGTAAACAGAGATCGAGATCTGGGAGAAGAATGCATCTGCCGACATTAGGACCGTTCTCCACGTCGGGGGAAAGCCCACACACTTACGGATTCCAGACCTGGCACGCCACTACCAAGGTTCCCGAGACCTCCCGCAGCTCCGCGCCACTCCCACTAGGCTTCTAAGGACTACCCAGCTTCCCAACTACGAAGAATTGGGTCGCAGCACAATGACGTCAGACAGTGTCATCCCGCCCTGCTTGCCTTCTGGGCTCCGCCTCGCGCACTCGGTCGCGCGCGCGCACTGGGTCCTTATGGCTAGCGCGAGGCGGCAGCTGGGCACCGCCATTTTGGCCGGTGGCCGTAAGAACACGCTGTGTGGTTGAGAAGTGAAGGCAGGAGCTGATTTGGCGTCTGCGCTCCCCTCCGCAAGGGGATCGTTTTCTCCAGGTACGTGACTGTCCCGGAAGCGTTTGGACGTTAGCTGCCATTTGCCACGTTGGAAAAACCGTAGGGACATTCTCCGAGACCCTTTGGATAGGCCTCAGGTGGCGGCGGCGGAGACAGCGGCGCGTGGCAGCCGGCTCCGGCGGGACAGCTGGAGCCGCCGGAGCGCGGGTGACCCCGAGAGCTCCGGGACGCCTCGCGCCTCCCCTCCAGCAGACCCGGCTCTCGGCCAAGGTTGACCACCACCCTCGCCAGGGGCTACGAGAATGGACCTAGATGCCTCCTATCCACTCCCCCTTTACCCTGCTCCCACCCTGAAGCTAAACCTTATGGAGAGGAAGGCACCTTCAGATCTTACGGCACCCTCTAGTCCCCCCACGCCCCTTGGAATAGTAAAGTGGATATATTGTAACATGTGCATATTTGGTTGTGGGAATTCGGGTTTTTCTTCCACCTTTTGGTGATTGTGGAATGAGTCATGGCATCTTGCCGCCATGAAGTCGAATACTCCCTGTCCACTCCCAGGCTTTATAGAAATGATGGCCAAACGGCGCTCTGCTTTTCTCGTAGTAGCGCAACGTGTGCTTAGCTGTGACTGTGGTTATTCCCAAGTAATTTCCCGGTTGAATACCTGTAGCTTTTTTGGTACGCTTTTATAGCACCCAGCATTTTTGCCCCTTGATGACTTAATCGTTTTTCCTTCTATAATATCTTAAACACCTTGAAATCGAGAGTGATGTCCTTACTCAGAATACCTTATTAGCTCTTTAGGGCTTCCTACATTGTAGGCACTCAGTTATTTCTTGGGAATGAATGAGAGCCAAAGCTGAAGTCCCATATCCCATGAACTACATAAATGTATTTTCTCCGTTTTGGTTGGTAAAAACGATAACAGTGAGGAACAACTGTCCAAACAACTTTTTTTTTTTTAACCTCTTCCACAGGACTAGTAACTAATCAGTTAACAATAATGGTATTTATGTTGCAGTAGTTTGTCCCATGTACAGAGACTGTTCATGTTATACCTGCCACCTGACAACAGTGCTTTCTCGGTGTAACCAAAAGTTGTTCTGTGTATTGGAATCAAAAGGTGTTTTGGGTTTTGTTTAAGTTAAAAACTTTGTTTTTTCCTATTAAAAAATTGTTTTTGTTTTTAGGAAGAGCATTTAGCATAATTGCTGGGGGGAGGGGGAAGAAAGAATATAGAGTTCCTTCTCAATGCCTTGATTAAGACTCTTTGAAATCAGAGTTATACACCACTCCCAGTTTGTAAGAGTTTTATAAGAGACTAATAACCTACAATAAGCATAGGTTAGAATATTTAATGTGATACTGTGTATCAAGCATCATTAGTTAACAGCAATTTTTGAAGATGTTTTACACAGCAAAACAATTGCAGTAATACTGGTTTTAGACTGTAAATGCTTTTCATGTATCCCTCACTTCCTTTTTTCCCCTCTCAGCTGAAAGGGGAAAGCTGAAAGGGGCACTGTCATTGTTTGAATACCCATTTTGAACAGTTTATCTTCATATCTGAAATATCTTTAGATCCTTTGTTGTTCCCAGGAATCTGTCTTCCACACAGCGCTTTCCGATGCCTATCTTGTAAAGTAGGAAACCCATTTTCTCCAATTCTTGAAACTAATAGAGAAATTGAATTAAAAGTGTTTACACAGTTAATAGTTCTACAAATAATCAATGTTCATTTTTCTTAAATACATTATAGTTTATCACTATTTTATGTAAATAAGCTTATTAAACCACCTCTGGTAGATTTTGTTCTTTATTCTGTGCCTGTAGTCAAGGCTACTCAGGAGCTTTATGCAGGAGAATCACTTGAGCACAGGATTTTGAGGCTGTGGTGCCCTATGACCTGTGAATAGCAACTGCGCTCCAGCATGGGTAACATAGTGAGACCTTGGCTCTTAAAAAAAATTGTCTCTTACAGTCTCTTAGTTTCTAAAATAATTTGAAAAATTAGATGAAATGTTTTAGCAGTTTGACAGAAATAAAGTTTCAGCAATGTCATGATAAAAGATTTATCCCATGGAGGGGAATTCCCTATGCATTTAGTCTTTTACTGGGTAATTTGTAAAAAGGCATTCGTTAAATTAGAATGCATGGAGAATACAGTTTTATTTTTTAATAGATTGCTAAAGAATCTTCAAATCTTAGAAAGTCATCATTTCCAGAATGATAGCTATTTTATAGAAATTCAAGTCATTTAAATTTCTTCCTCTTCTAATCTTTTTTTTTTTTTTTTTGAGACAATCTTACTCTGTCACACTGGGTAGAGTGCTATGGCATGATAGCTCATAGCAACCTCGAACTCTAGGGCTCAAGTAATCCTCTTGCCTCAGTCTCCCCAGTAGCTGGGACTACAGGCACCCACCACAACACATGGCTAGTTTTTCTATTTTTAGTAGAGACAGGCTCTTGTCCCTGCTCAGACTGGTTCTCTTCTAATCTTTACGAGACCTAGACCAATTTTTAAAGGAGTAAAGTAAACCTGTTTTTTAGCACAACTCTTTATTACATGAACATTTAGTCTCTTTTTTTGGTATTTTTTTTTTTTTTTTTTAGTATATAGTGGACCATGAAATATTGATAACTTAAAAGATTTCTGAAGTTATAATCAGTAGGACAATTAGTTTGTTTAAATTCATTTTCTCATTCAGTAGAAATGTTTGAGCTCCTACTATGTGCTAGGCATTGATTCAGCCCCTGGAATGAACAAACAAAAATCCCTGCCCTCGTGATGAAGGACATTCTACTTGAGGAAGAAAAAAACTCTGTGTGTGTGTGTGTGTATAGAAAAAATACACTGTATATATACATATATGCACACACATGATAAATGTGAACATATATACCAGATGTATATATGAAATATATAGGTATAGTAGAGCTAAGTAGAAAAGAAAGATAAAAAGGCTTGAGTATATTTTTGGTGGTATAGCTAGAGAAGGCTCACTGAGAAATAGCCAGCAAAGACTTGATGAGTGAGCTTTATTCTAGGAGAAATAGCATTATAGGCAGAAGGAAGAAAAAGTGCCAAAACCCTGAAACAAGAACATACCTGCAATGTGCTAGGAACCACAAGGAGCCATTATATCTGGAGCCAAAAAAACAAGAGCTATAAAAGTTGGAAATGAGATCAGAAAGTTAACAGAGGCTGGTCAATGCCTCATTGAGGACTTTGGCTTTTCCTCATGCTGAGAAGTGAAGCCATTACAGGATTTTAAGTAGAGAAGTGACACAATCTGGCTTACACTTTAAAAGGATTGCTCTAGTTAATGTATTTAGAATTGACTTTTGACATTTGGGTAGAAGGAGGCAAAGTAGACACAAAGAGATCTTTTATGAAGCTGTTAGATTAATGCAGGTTAAGACATGATGATGATGACTTAGACCATATAGTCAGGAAAAGCGGTTGGATCCTGAATGTGTTTCGAAGGTAGATTCAATGGGATTTGCTGTTATGGAGTAGAAAAGAAAGATAGCTTAGAGGATTTTGCCCTGAGCAAATGGAAGACTCAAATTACCATTTAACAGAATGGATGAGACTGCATAGAAAAGTGAACTTCCCTGAGGATTTCAGGAGCATAGTTAGGGAGATGCCTCCTAGACCTTATAGAGGAGGTGTTGGATTGGCAGGTAGATGAGCAAATTTAGGGTTCAGGAGCGATATCTTGACTGGAGGTAGAAATTTGGAAATTTGTGATATATAAGTGGAATTTTAAGCCATGAGACCAGTATAGAACACTTTGGGTGCTGAGTATAGATGGAAAAGAAGACCAGGTGCTTAGAGCACTCAACATTTAGAAGCCTGGGAGATAAGGAGTGATCAGGAAGGTAGGAGGAATTAGTGCTATATCCTAGAACCAAGTTAAGAAAGGGTTTGTATTTAGTAGGACAAATCATAATTTGTCCCAGATACATTGGATTGGTCAAGTCAGTTAAGGTCTGATAATTAACAGTTTGATTTAGCTGTGTGAAGAAAAGCAATAGCATGGCAAGTCATTTGAACTGGTGGGCACTAGTGTCTAGAATGGATTCCATAGAGAATGTGTAGAGAGAAATAGAGAAACTTGAGACCCTTGAGTATAGTATAGTTTTACACAGCAAAACTCTTTCAGTAGCCTTGAAGAAGGAGAAATAAAGCAATGGGAGATGATGGAGTTAGATAATAGAATGCTTGAATGCTGATGGGAATAAGTCAGTGGAGAGAATAATCAAGGATGTTAAAGATAGAATTGTTTGCACATATTCTATGGAGAATGTCTTCTGGTGTATACATAGACTTAGCTAAGGTAATAATATAGCATGATTGCTGGTTAGTTTAAGGGTGCATTTAGGATGATGAATTTAAAGGGAGACTATTTCACAGGCTTTGGTATTTTCTTTATTTTCAGCTGTATGCGTGCCAGCTGTATGGTTAAATCTATTTAACCAAGATTGTAGATGAGGGTGTAAATAATTGACAATGAAATTTTAGCTTGGTAAGAAGAGAAATGATTACCAAGGCCAGTGGTAATGTAGAATCAAGAGATAGTGATAGTAGGTTTGGAGAATGGGGTGCATCAAAGGGTTGTTTAATATAGGAGATGAACCAAAAAGAGAAGAGTGATATTTGGAGAACCAGAGTATTCAAAATTGAGGTTATAGAATGCAATTATAGTAAGGACCAAGGTCTAGGGTTTGACCAAACGAATGAGTGGCTGTGGTAATGTAGAAGACAAGATATTGGAAGAGAGGAGTTAATGAGCTGAGCAGATAGGCTCTTAATAGAAGGATCATCTGTGAGCATATTGAAATCTCCAAAAATTATAAAAGAAAGGGTGAAAGTCAGCCAATGGCTGAAATCTCATAGAATGAAGTGATCTGATGGTTAATAAATGACTGTGATTGTTGAAAAAAATCCATTTTATCACACATAACAATACAGTGTAGAAAATGATTCACCTTTATGTCATGACAACAAAGAAAAGCAAGCTTTGAGACTATTTCTCTTCTGATGCTCACTTAATTCATGCAGAAGCCACCTATCCAATCTTCTTTACCTGACCGGTTTCTTTCAAGTGGTACAATATTTTTGGAATAGTAACATCAAACCTTGCTCCTAATTTGTGTATACGTTGCAGTGGATTCACTTCCACTGCAGCTCATCATTATCAATGTTGGTCTTGGGTCACCCACATGTCTCATTTTGAAGATTAAAATCACCTAAACAGAACTCCTCAAACTGTTGCTGTACTGTGGCATTCATTAGCCACATCCTTCCTGAACTCTTCCTTGGTATTTTGAGCTGCCTGCAGCCAAAATGTGCATGTGAAAGACTCAGGATGTACCTTAATAATAGAAATAAAGTTAAGTGTCAAATTAAATGTCAGAGATAAAAAGCAACTGTGAGACTTAGTAAGAAGGAAGTCAGACACTTAATAGGCATTGAAGAGCAAGCTCTCTTATTCCCCTTCAAGCCTAGTGATACTGATAAGTGTGAGAAAGACTTAAGAGGTCTGCAAGGGGAACAGTCTATCCAAAATAAAACATCAAGAGTTGAGGATGAAAAAGCCAACAGAATGTCATAGTAAAGGAATAGTCTTGGCTTCAGGTTCTTTTATTATGTAATGGAATAACCTGGAATATTAAGACACTCAAGGCACAGTGGCACATGCCTAAAATTTCAGCACTTTGGGAGGTCAAGGTGAAAAGATTTTCTGAACCCAGGAGATTGAGACTACTGTGTGCTGTGATTGTGCCATTGCATACTCCAGCCTGGCAAAAGAGTGAAATTCTATCTCAAAGAAAAAAGAAAAGGAAAAAAGATACTTTGGAATTATTTACTTTAATCGCCATTCAAAGGAAATTATTGTCCAAACCAATAAGCCAAATATGGTAAAAGATTTTTAAGTTTTCTTTGATCATAATGCTATATAGTGATTACACTTAATATATTAACTTATAAAAGCTTTAAAAACTAGCACAGTTTATAATATAGTTACTTAGTCTCCTTTTAATTTAATTGCTGTTAGCATGAAATCCATCTATCTGGCTATGTCACAAGTTCCCAGAGACATGCCATTTTTACTTTGTCCAATTGATAAACATGGTGGTTACAACCTTAATAATTATTTGCCATTTCCATCAGCAGTGTTGTTACAGTGGGATGATGAAGACACTAAGTAATGCTTAGTTTGAGGGAGGGGAGCCAGTAAACATCTTATGTGTATTTTCATGTCTAGTCTTTCTGTTTTACTGGTCTGTATTCATAAGCTGGTAAAAGTATTAATTACTGAGGCCTTATGTCTTTTTTTTAAAAAATGTGTCTAGTGGATATTTTCTTATCCTCCTTGTTCTTTGTCAGTTTTTTCAGACTGTTGATACTTTTCTTTTTCCATAAGAACTTTGGATTTGGTTTGTCTGGTTTATTTTTTCCCCATGAGATTGAATTAAATGTATAAATTCACAGAAGATTGAAATGTCTGATTTTAACTGAGATAGCATGTCATTTTATTCAGGTCTTTTATGTCATTCAGTGTTGTTTTAGAAGTTTCTTGATGTATATATCTTGTTAGGTATATTATGTATTTTCTTTTTTACTATGGTAAACGATATTTTTTTCTTCCCTTTATACATCTTCCGTTCAAGGGATGTACATTAAACTTGGTGGTTGAAACCTTACTAGATTAGGTTACTATTTTTTCTACCTGTTAAATTTTCTGGTGTTTTTTAGGTAATTCATTTCCATATAATGATCATTTATATTCTCTTTAACTGTTATGTGAGTTATTTCTCTTAACTAATGGCACTGAATTTGCCATAATTTTTTTAATTTTTCTTTAATAGAAGAATTGGGTATTCTTCATTACAAATATGGCGGACAAATTAACGAGAATTGCTATCGTCAACCATGACAAGTGTAAACCTAAGAAATGTCGGCAGGAATGCAAAAAGAGTTGTCCGGTGGTTCGAATGGGTAAGCTATTTGGGGGATCATTAAGGATAAAAGAAGGTTTTGCAAGAAATAAACTGATTTCATAGTTCTGTATGGGCTTTAGCATATGCTTTGTTTTCCCCCTTAGTTTCTTTAAATTCGTTAGATAAGACACCTAGAGTTTGTTCTAAGTTTCTTTTACTGCTTTGTGAATAAATGATCCTATTTTTAAAAACAAAAGAAGGTAGAAAAATATATCATTATTTAGCAGTTTATTAACTATGAAATAAAACCAGAGTTCAGGTTAATTGGGGAAGGGCTGCCAAAAAGGTTGACAGTATTGTCATCTTTAGAAGACAAAATTAAATAGTTTAATAGGAATGATTATTCCTGAGGATTTGCTGTATTTTGACAGTTACATAAATTTCCAGCAGTTCAGAGTTGGCTATTTGTTGGTAATTTTTAAGGACTATGTTAAATAATTGTTACTTTAACTGTACTAGTGAATCTTTAAAAAGACTTACTGAATTTTAAATGAAACTTTAGATGTCATTTGTTATTATCTCTTCTGCTATTCAGAAACTTCATTATCAATATCCCTGATACTTTATTTAATTTTACCTGTATATTATATGACTACATTCCTTTTGGACTTTCATTGATCTCGCTAACATATTTATTCCTTTATATTGTATGCATTACCCATATTCTATAAATTAAAGACTCAGGTCAGCTTAAAAATAAAAATATTTCGGGCAGTGCCTGTGGCTCAAAGGAGTAGGGCAC